GAGCAGCCTCAAAAGCCAAGGATCAGCATTGTAAGGAATAGAACAAGTGGGCACACAGACAGTCAGGGAGCAGTCACCTCCCATCCTGCTGGGCAGGTGAGGCTCAGYTGGGAAAGTCCACCTGGCTCTCACAACACAGGCAGGGGGATCTGTTAAGGGCTGTCAAGGAAATTAAGAAGGAATGTGTGGGTAGAGTCTCCATGGGAATAAATACCTGGCTGAAGCACAAAAATCCTGGCCTTATCCATGCCTGGAGCACTGCCCCAGAAATTCCCTTCCTGCTGCTCCCTTTTCCCTGGCATGTCCCATCCYGTGTGCTCCCTCATTTCACCTCTGCGTGGGGGACACATCCCTGGGGGCACCGGGGCTCAAGSATCTTCCCCAAAGAGCCACAGCCCCAGGCAGCCAGAGGTCCTGTGAGCAGAGCCCTGCTCCTGTCTCAGAAATGCCATTTTCTGTGTCTGTGAGCTCTGGCTGGCCAGAACCAGCACCATTTCCAGTGTTACCATGGCAATGGCTGCCTGGAAAATGCCTGCAGTGGATGCACAGAGCAGCAGAGTCCAGCCAGGCAAAGGCYCCTGCGGTCAGTCTGGAGCTGGCACGGCCACCCCTCACCCCCCAGCCCTTCCTCCTGGAGCCAAGGAGCCCAACCTGAGCCCAAGGTGTGCAGTGAGAGCTGGAGATAGAGGGTACTCCAGCTGCCCTGCCCTGCTCCCTGTGTCCATCCCTCCTGGCCCAGTGTCCCCAGACCAGCCCCAGCACATGGCTGCAGGAGGGATGGTGGCAGGAGCTCGGCAGGGAGCTTTTGGCAATCATTTGCAGATGTAGTTTTTATTAGTTGCTGKTTTTTTTTCTAATGGCTCCTCATTGTAAAAAACAAGTTCCCGTGTCCCTGTGCAGCCGGGCTCCATCAGCTCCTGCCTGGCCACAGGGCTGGGGCAGCTGGCCAGGGTGAGCCGTGTGTCAGGAGCCAGCGGGGCTGGAAAAGCCAGCGGTCACTCGTGGAGAGCCCCCGGGGTCTCCTGCCGGCCGTGGCCAGCCCGCAGCTCATCCCTGACAGCCCGGGATGCTCCCACRGGGCCGGGCTGGTGTCTGCTGCTCCACTCCCGGGGCTCGGGGTGATCCAGCCCGCGGCCGATGACTCCATGCTCCGYCCCTGCCTGCAGCCACCATTCCAGGAGGTGTTGGTTTGGCACAGGGGACAATCCCTGGGGCGGTGGGAGAGGAGGGAGCCCAGCACGGGAATGCAGAGCTGCAGGCAGGAGGGTGACTGTCCATATCCTGGAGGAGGGAGGAGCAGAGCTGCTGGACTCCCTCCCCTCCTGCCCTTCCTGTCCAGCCAGCACCTAGGAGCTGCCCTTCCTCGGACCGTGACTGTCCCCCTCCTGCAGCTGATGCTGCCTTGCAGGGAGGAACTGCGGTCCGGGAGCTGCAGCTCAGAACAGCGAGGTTGGGAGGACCTCTGGAGGTCTCAGCCCGGGCTCCTGCTCCGAGCAGGGCTGGCTGCAAGGCTYCAGTGGCTCACTCAGAACCTCACCCGTCCTTCTGAAAACCTCCACCTCTCCAGACCCCATCCCAGGRCTGCCCCACCCTCCTGGGGAAGTCTTCCTGAAGTCCAACCASTGTTTCCCCCATCGCTACCTGAGGCCTCCTGTCCTTCCCTCTGCAATGAGCCTGGCTCCAYCTTGATCCCAAAAATTCAGAATGATTTGTCACAATCGTTACTCGTGGAAAGAGCCCCAGGGTATTTGCTGCCATTTCCTCATCCCCAGAGCAAATTCCARGCAGTGAGCAAAGCTGTGGGGGTGAGCACAGCACGTACTCACCCAGCCCCAACAGCCCGAGCATCCCAGCACAGCTGTCTGGCAGGAATTGAGTCCTGTGGATCTGAAAACAAACACTTCAGTGATATTTGAAGGGATTTGCTGGAATTGTCCAAGTGAGTTTCTGAATTTCATGTCTCCTTGATTAATGCCATAGGATGGGGGATGACTTTCAGGCCACATTTTGATCTGTGCTGGCACCAGGTTTGGGCTGATTCAGGGCACTCCTGAAGTCCCATCCTTTTGCAACGGTGATCCTGAACCAAGAGCCCCCAAGCCAGGAGGGAAAAGACAGGATTACCCATGAGACCAGCAAGAAAGGACGTGCTGCTTTTGCTACTGCTCCCCTAATATTCCATTTGTTTGAATACAGAGGGGCTTGCTGGGAACTTACGAAGAAAATGCTGTTTAATTCATGAATGTAAACAGGTAAGAAAGTGTTTGTTGAGAAGCAGAGCCTTATTATCAAGCTGGTTTTTGTATCAGTGACTGTGACTTGCTGGGAATCACAAGTGAGTCAGGCAAAATTCAAATCTTGTTTCAAGGTTTTACCAGGTTTCTGGTGTTCAGCAAAGACCAGAATTCAGAACCTACACATGCCCTACTATTGCTGAACAGCAAGATTAGTCCAGCCTTCCTGCCCAAAGCCTTTCCAGCTGGGATGCTTTCCCCAATTAACCTTTTTCTCTGTTTTGTTATTTTGCAATGTTTAGTTTGGGGATGATTCCTTACCAAACTCCCTCCACAACTGCCACATGGGCTCAAATTTCATGTTCCAAGGGGCAGTTTAATATTTGTGGCTTGCTGGGAGTATTAAAGAGAGCGGCATGTTTTTGTTACCTGAGGGATGAATTAAAAGGAATCCCTCAGTCCTGGATCGACACTCTGAGTTCCCAGTGCTGCTGACTGATACAGCACCCGTGCCTCTCCCAGCCTCCCACTCATCTCCCTTTCACTGCTGTCTTGATGAGATCATTTTTCACCGTTSCCCCTTGCAAGCACTGCTGTCCCAGCCTGGCCTAAGGCTGCCAGATCCAAGGTGACCCTGGGCAGGGCTCTCTGGCCGTTTGTTGGTGGCTGTCACGTCCTTGCCAGCTGCCAGCTCTCAGCTCCCAGCCTGGTGTTGGGTCCTCACGATGCTCCACGTGCCTGTGCCTGGCTCTGGGCCAGGAGCAGGAGGCTGGTGACCTTTGCAGCAGCCTGAGGMAGTGCTGGGGTCTGAGCTGTGCCTGGCAGCCAGGCTTTTCCCCTGTCCAGGAGTGGATTTTCAGCCTCCAGCTGACAGTGCCCTACTCGCATCCGYGGGCTTGTGGCTTCCTGGGAACGTGTTGTCATGGCAAAGTAGCAGTTCCTCTGATCCCCCTTGCCAGGGCAGCAAAGGAACCATTATCAGCCAGACTGAGCCCACCTGGACAGAGCAAACCCATCCCTCAGGCAGCACCAAACTGCAGCTGCAGCACTGTAAGAGCAGGACAGGTCTCACACCGGGCCCTGAGCTATTCCTCCCTCAAGGTAACCTGGCTGAGGGTTCCATAGCCCAAAYTACCCCAAATGCTGCACAGGGGCTCTCTCCCCACCTTGAGACATTTGGTGCTGTGTCCAGCAGCTCTGAGTGCTCCAACTCTGCTTCCCCTCAAGCTGCATCACCTCTGCTCCACAGAGTTTCCAACCTTCCTCAAGGCAGCAGAGTAATCCACGAGAGTGCATCCTTGGGCCACATCGAGCATGGGTGTAAGGCAAGGAGCAAGGGGAGGGTGAGAGAAAGTCAGGATTTACTGTATCCCAAACACCTTCCCCCCAGCATCTCCTGCAGCTCCAGCTGTGCTCATGCAGTGCTTGGAACCCTCACCCTGAGGGACAGGAGCTCTCCCCCAAAAGCTCCTGCTACTCCTTGTCACCCACCCACAGCTCTCTGGAGGCAGCAGATCCTGCAGATGCCAGAGCAGCTCTGMAGAACAGTCAGGGTCGAGGCTGGGCAGTTCCAGCCATGGGAGGACAACACAACCAGAGCCCTCAGAACCAAAATGTTCTACCCTGAGACAGAGCAGCAGCTGCTCATTGTCCTTATGGCCACCCTTAAAAGCCCCCTGAGCACCGAGGAGCCACCCAGGGACCCCCAGAGGGCCGGGCAGGATCCAGGCAGGATCCAGGCGCCGGCCGGGCTCAGGAGGCCGGGCACGTTCCAGCAGAGCCGTGGAGGGGGGCCAGGACAGAGGCACGGGCTGAAGCTTTGCTGGGAGCTGCATTAAAATGCATGAGCTGCGCTGGCCCTAATGATGAGCAGAGCTGTCAAACGAGGAGCTTGTCCCAGCTAATTATCTCTAACGAGGGCAGAGTGTCAGGGTCCCCGAGGAGCCGGGCAGCAGCTTCCCACTCAGCTCAGTTGCAGCAGAGAGAGAAGATAAGCAAATGTCATTGTGCTGGCCTAGCTGCACGATCATTAATTAGGCAAATGTGACCTTCCGTGGAAGTTTGCTCTTGAGAACCCGGACTTGCCGGGGACAGGACACAGAGGCAGCCTGGAAACATCCCAGCTTCTGCCACCCAACCCGTGCCCCTGCAGAAACAGCACAGCCTTATCTGGCAGCCCCAGCCAGCCCCACCAGCCTGTGCCAGGCTCCCCTGTGGCCTCAAATACCCCTTAGGAGGCCTCCAGCCCCTCCTCTGTCCTAAAGAGCAGCAGACAAGTCAGGTTTTCATGAAACGCTGCTGTTTAGATCAGCCAGCTCCATCACCTCCCTCACCCAAGCCCCAGCCCAGCCCTGCAGAGCTCTGTGCTCACCCAGGGACTGCCTCTGCACCACCTWTCCCCAAACCTTCAAGGCATTGGTGATCTCCATTCCCTGGTGGTTCTACTCTGTTGAAGTGCAGAGGGGATGAGCCACACTCTGCTCTACAAGCCCAGCTCCTCTCATCAGTCCTGTGGCTCACAAATCAAGGCAGTGCCTTGCCCTGATGTGCCAGACAGGGAGAACATGTCAACACAAGACAGGGGGAAGGCAAAGTCTCTTTCCAGGGACAAGCAGTGATATAGAGAGATGACCCACACAAGGTTCAGCCTGCAAGCTCTGAGCTTGTGCCTCACCTCAGAGCTGAGGGGAAAGGGGGAGAGGCTGGTTTTGATCCACCCAGAAACTCAGTGCACCACCACAAAGCTTCCAGACACCACCAGGGACTCCCAGTGCTCTTCATCAGCCTGTAATTATGGCAAGTGCTTTGCAGTCCCTTGTTGCCAGACAGCACCAAAGGCTTCAACACCCACTTCGACTGCATCGTTACAAAATAAAAGATTTCAAAGTCACCAACTTAGAACACAAACAGAGCTGTAACCCAAGGGTTACTGAGCTGTGCTGGGGCTCTCAGCCCCATCTGCTGAGGGGTTTGGGTCACACTTTTGGGGCACAACCATCTCTGCTGGATAAGGCTAGGGATGATCTGTTACATCGTGTCTCACTGTRCATTGTAGTCCCTGCTATGAGACACCAATGAGCAAGAAGTATCAGAGAGAAGTTTACTGATATTAACTACCAAAATGCCTATTTTGTATCATAATTGCGCTCTCAAGAGCAGCTAACTGCCCGTACAGGCAGGAGACCGACACTGAGTCAATCTGACAAGAACACTTCCAGTGCCACAGCACAGAAACTCCTTCCTCTGCCCACACGTACAGGTCTTCACTGAATCCAGGCTGTCATGACACTTCAGGAACGTGGTTTTCACATGGCCCCTTCCCCACCAGCACGGCTCAGACAGCAGAGCCCCTAAACCCCACTGCTTGATCTGCAGCAAGGGTTTTGCTCCCAAGGTTTCTCTCCTACTGCTTCTGCACTGCCTGTTGCTTTTCTTTCAGCTGGCTGACGAGCTCTTCAGCGTACACCTTGAAGAGTGGGACAGGGTCCTGCAACAGAGCAGAGGATGAACCACTCAAAGGAGTGAACCTGAGCAGCAGCAAGGGGTGAAGCGCAGTGGGGAGCCCAGGGAGTGATGACAGCTAAAACCACAGGAAGATGTGACTGGGTTTTGTTCAGTGGCTCAACAGACAAGCTGCTGCTGCTCAGCTATGTAACCCTCCTAGAGGACAGGCACCTGCATGGTGCAGTTTCAACAGTTTCCTCAGTTCTGAGAGCAGAGAGGAATCATCAGCAGCTCCTAAGGATCCCTTTCCTTTGTCCCTTTTCCCTTCCCTACCTCCTCACACTGCCTGCCATCAGAGCTGTACTGCAYGTGGGTGAGCATATCCCATGAGGAAGCTGGAGCCCCACAGGGTTCCCTGGCTCAGGAGTGGATGTRCAGCCTGATGCAGCCCCAACACCTCAGTGCTGAGCACTGCCTCAGGAACTCACCTTTTTTTCCAGGAGCCTCTGTTTCTCTATGGCTTCTTCCAAACTCAAGCCAACCCATTCAGCTTCTTCTTCTGGGATCACAAAYTCCTGGGAYAGAAGAAGRAGAAGGTGGCACAGTCTTTGCARKTGACCAAGACACAAATMCCCTCTATGCCTGGACACAAACAAKTGATCCAGTGGGAACATTACTATGGACAAATCTTAAAGCACYGTTCCCTCATTTCTAACAACCAAGGTCCAGCTCCCTTCTCTCCTTAGCAGGGGTCCYGCTGCTCTGATCAGCTGTGTCTGCTTTTGCAGTTCTTTTGTGTAGTTCTGGGGCTGTTTCTCAGCACAACTCCATGGACTGTGGGTGTTGGTGGTGTTTCCATGCTGGCATCCACCACCAGCTACACAAAACTGAGCAGCACCTGGGCACTCTGGGCTCTCACAGCAGGGGCAGTACAAATTGTTGCTGCTTTTTGTTGAGGACTCTCAGTGAGCTCAATCACAACAAAAATGCTGCTTWTTGTGTCCCTAAATGATGAGTACAAAAACTAGGTGGCCCTAGAGAGACAAGAAAAACCTGATGATGTTTGTATTTTCTCTGCCCATACCCTCTGCACCAAGACCAGTGATGGGTGACCACCCAAGCAGCAAACACCAGGACAGGAACTGCAGGCCAGGARCTCACCTTGTACTTGTCATAGATGGCCTCTCTCCTGGCTGGATCATCGGGATGCAGCTGAGGATCCCGCCGGGCCAGGCGCAGCAGCATCGTCCGCTTCAAATCCATGCCGAGCTTGGAGCACATGTCAGCTTTGGGAGTCTGGAGAAAGGGGAGTTTAGCTGCACCAAGACAGCAGCTGCCAGGGAGAACAGGGGTCTCCCAGCACACTGACAGCACTRGCAATATACCCACACACAGCAGAGGCTCTCAGGGCACATGTTGTGAAAGGGGAAAGATGTGTTGGAAATATTCTGGAGCCAATTTGATTACAGTTCTGGGTTTTAATATCAAGAGCTCCGATCAAGAGGGTATTAAAGGCTGGGAATGTTAGATCTGCACTAAACATYAACAACAGCAGCTGTTCAKCCTGGAGAAGAGGAGACTGAGGGCAGAGCTCAGTGGGGGCTGCAGTTCTTCCCAAGGGGCAGCTCCAGCCCCTGCTCTCTGTGACAGGGACAGGGACCAGGGAACGGCTGCAGCTGGGCCAGGGAGGATTAGGATGATGATCAGGGTAGGGTTCTTCACTCAGAGGGTGCTGGGCACAGCATAGAGCCTGCCAGAGCTCCAGGAGCGTTTGGACAGCGCTGCCAGGGATGCACAGGGTGGGATTGTTGGGGKGTCTGGGCWGGGCCRGGAGTTGGACTCGGTGATCTTCCAACCTGGGATATTCTGTGCCGGAGTTGTAGGACCCCCTGCCTGCCAGCCCGAGGGTGAGGGCAGCGTGGGCACAGCCCCGGGCCGTACCTTGAGGATGTAGAAGTCGAAGCCGAAGGCCGCGTCGATGAGGTCGAGCGTGCGCATGGTGACGGTGATGGTCAGCGTGGCGTCCAGGATCTCGCTGTAGAACTGCCGCTCGAACAGCTGCGGCTTCCACGTCTTGGGCAGCCTGGTGGAGAGCTGGGCACGGCCCGGCGGTCAGGGCTGGCCCCGGGGGGGCGGCGGCCGCCAGCGGGCCCCGGTGACACCGCCCGGGCTCGGGCAAGGGCGCAGCGCTCACCTTGTCATTGCGCGCGTAGCGGAAGCCGCGGATCCATCCCTCGCCGCCCCAGAGCCCCTCGTTGGCGGCGGGCGGGAAGTACACGGGCACCGGCACGTCCTGCACGCGCTCGCGCTCCCCGGTGCGCGGGTTCCGCCGGTAGCGCAGGCCGTGCGGCCGCCAGTGCACGGGSGTGGGCGGCGTGTCGTCCTGCAGCGAGGCCAGGTAGTGCTGCGGCAGCCGGGCGCAGATGCCCTCCCGCATCCGCATGGCGGCCCAGAGCCGCGGCGGGAAGCGGTGCAGCGGCATCGCCCCGGTCCCGCGTACCCCGGCTCACCCGCCCCGGCCCGGTCCCGCCCCGCCGCCGCTTCCGCTTCCGCCCCGCGCGGCCACCGCCCCCTGGCTGACACAGAGCCCGACGGTGGCCGGGAGGGGCCGCGCCGCGCCCGCGTTTCGCCCCCGGCAGGGCTGGAGGCTGTCAGAGGATGGTGCCCGCTCCTCCCGGTGATGGCGAGAGACCGCACCGGGGATGGGCATGAACTGAAACACCTTCCACCTCAACAGACTGGGGCTGTGCCAGGGGAGGGTTAGGCTGGGTACCAGGGAAAGGTTCTTCCCCCAGAGCGTGCTGGGCACTGCCCAGGTTCCCCAGGGAATGGTCCCGGCCCCGAGGCTGCCACAGCTCCAGGAGCGTTTGGGCAGCGCTGCCAGGGATGCACAGGGTGGGATTGTTGGGGGGTCTGTGCCAGGGCGGGAGTTGGACTGGGTGATCCCTGGGCTTCCCTTCCAACTCGGGATATTCTGTCATTGTGTGCAGACCTTCTTCAGATGGAGGGTGGCAGAGCACTGCAACAGCTGCCCAAGGAGTGCATGGAGTCTCTCTCTCTGGGGACATTCCAAACCCCACCTGGACATGTCCCTGTGTCACCYGCTCCAGATGACCCTGCCTGGRCAGGAGASGYGGATGAGATGATCYCCAGAGGCCCCTTCCAGCCCTGTGATTGTGTGACTGCAGCCACCACCATCTGCCCGCAAATACCGTCACCTTTATTAAATTATAAAACCGTAAGCTTTAAAATTTACCATATAAAATAATCACAGGTATTAACAGCAAAGAAAAAAATAACCATTTTTTTCCCCAGACACAGGAATTCGCTCAGATTTTACCCAAAATAATTAACCCTCCCTCCGGCAGGCACCGAGGCCAGGTCATCAGGGAGGGAGCAAAGCAGAATTTAACGATCAAACACAAAATAAACAATCATGTCAGCGGGATTTCTCGCCCCAAAGCTTCTCCTGCTTCCRGCACGGAAATCCCTGAAGGGAAAGGCCCGATGAGGAATTATTGCTTTTTATGATAACCAGCAACACCTGGCCAGATCAGTGGCATCAGGTCACACTGGCAGCACACAACCACACTGGTGGCACCTGGGTCACACTGGCAGTACTCGGGTCACACTGGTGGCATCCAGACCATCCTGGTGGTACCTGGGCCACGCTGGCAGCAACCAGGTGACACCAATGGCACCTGGGCCACACTGGCAGCACTCAGGTCACACTGGTGGCACCAAGGTCTCACTGGTGGCACCTGGGCCACGCTGGCAGCAACCAGGTGACACCAACGGCACCTGGGGCACACTGGCAGCACTCAGGTCACCTTGGCAGTACTCAGGTCACACTGGTGGTACCCAGGTCCCACTAGCAGCACCTGGGTCACACTGGCAGCACCCAGACCAGTCTGGTGTTACCAGGATCCCATCAGTGTCACCTCGGTCCCACTGGCAGCACCCAGGTCCCACTGGCAGCACCTGGGTCCCACTGGCAGCACCCAGGTCCCACTGGCAGCACCCAGGTCCCACTGGCAGTGGCCCGGCACGGACGGCACGGCTGTGAAGGAGCGGCGGTCGCCTGCCACGGTGCTGGGGCCACAGCACCGCTGTGCAAACTGAGACAGGGGAAAAAAGTGCCTGAAAATGGGAAAAGTTGGAGGAAGCCCTGAGGGCCCCATGTCCCTCTTCCTGCCATGCCGCACTGGATGGCAGCAACACAAGGAAGTGTGGGGGACATGGGTGAGGGGGGTGACAATGCTGGGTGTGGACAAGTGTCCTTCACTTGTCCTGCACCTGCTTAAAAAAGGATGACTTTGCAGAGGAAGGGGAGGCAGAGGGATAAAGTGCAGAGCTGAGCTGGGCCCTCTTCAGAGCAAAGAAATAACCCCGAGGAGGGAAATCCTTCAATAAAAGCTCTTTCCTCCCCAAAGCCACCTGAGGAGGGGCTCCCAGCAGCACACACCATAGTGACACAGCTGGAACGATGTAGTTGAGCCCTTATCTGTAGAATAARGATGGGCAAAGACAACTTCCCTGGCTGCCAAGTTCTGCCCTTGCTTTCTGCGTGTCCTAGAGTAAGGCTAAGGTGAGACACGCTGCAAAGGAGACTGTGGCCACCAGGGGAGTCCCTGGCGATGCTCCTGCCCAGGCTGGGACACTGCTGTGCCCTCGGGACCCTGCAGCACATCCAGGCTCYGAGGCACAGCAGGCTGGAGGAGCAGCTCAGGCACCATCCCAAACCACCTGTGCTGCCCATGCCAAACACCCAAAAAGGAGGAAAACAGTGAATCCCTGAACACCATCAGCCTGGTTCCTTCCAGAGCTGAAGTTAAACTCAAACTAAACCCTGCAYTGCTGTGGGTTTCACGGCTCTGGCCAAGATGCTGCTGCTCCTCCTGCATGACCTCACATGGGGCTTTTTACATTCCTGCCAAGTCTGATCCTGAATCCAAGGCCCAAGTCCCAGCCTTATTCTTCTCCCACAGAATCAGGACCAGGTAAGAACAGCAGCACCTGTTTCACAGGGAGAGAGGCTCCAGAGCCCCAAGGAGATGGCAGCCAAGGCCCCAGCACATGCTGGGATCAGCTCCCTCCCTCCCCATCAGCACCAAGGGCACTTGGCAGCATTTGCCCCTTAGAAAAGAAGAAATATGTTCTTCTCTTGGGCTCAAGTTCTGACTGCAGAATTGCAGGGGAGCTCCCTGTCCCACATCCTCTGTCAGGACAGAGGGTGCAGAGAAGAGCCTAGCAGCCAAAGCCTTGGCTCCAGCTCAATGTGGGCTAAGCCCAAGCCTCATGGATGCAGCAGCGGGGGAAGAAGGGTCGGCGATTTCCCCCAGGGCTATGGGGAAGTGGGGGACAGGCTATTCCTTGATCTGGAACCATGAAGAGCCTGCCCCACCCCAGCTGAAAAGCAGAGGTGGCCTCAAACTTGCCTCCACAAGACCAGCCCAGAGCATCGTAATCTTTAAACACGGTCCACACTGAGCCCTCCTGTCCAGAGAATGAGCACGAGAGGACTGACAACATGTGAGGGGCAGCCCTGGCCAAGAACAGCTTCCCTGTCCCTCCACCCCTGTGAGCTGGACCCATCAGGTCACAGCATAGAGCTCCTCACGGTCATTCTGGCAGATCTGATAGCGACACGTGAGCTTCTGGGACCAGGCCCAGGGCTTCTTATGCTTGTCCCGAGGAGGGAGCAAAAAAGCGACGCTGCAAGCCACCAGCACGTGCCAGATGCTGTGGGTGTAGTAATAGTTCTCATTGGTTTCCATGAAAGCGTACACTGAGATGGCAATGAAAGCCAAGGTGATCCCTGGGAGGAGGTAGAAAACCCAGCGCTTCCACGAGGAGGGGTAGCAGTGCTTGCGCTTCGCTCCGTGGTGAACCTGGGGGGCAGAGCACACAAAAGTTAAGCAGCCAAGCAGAGGCTTAGGCAGGGGGGAACAGACCCCAGAGCATCTGCCAACCTGCCAATGTGCCTGCTGTCCCTGAGGAAATCACCTTCCCCCCATCTTGGGCCCATCTCTGGTGTGCCAAAGGCCCCAAGAGCTGTGGCACTGGAGCCCAGTACAGATACTACAGACACAGCCCATGCTTTGGGACAGCACTGCAGCTGCAGGTCTGAGACCCTGAACCAGGGGATTTCTCAGCWACTGCAGGGGTGGCAGGTGAATCCCTTGCTCTGCCCCCTCTGCCTGGCTGTTTCAGGGTGACCAATGCATGCCTGTGGATGGGCTGGAGCCTTGGGTCTGCTCTGCCTCCTCCATTCCCCATGGGCAGCAGGTCCTGCCCTCACTTACCCAAGCTGTAACCATGATGACGAGGGCGAAGAGGCAGGGACCCATCATGTTCCACACCCCTCTGCGGTCCAGCTGCAGGGACATGGCAATTAACAGGGTCCCCAGGATGAAAAGGACCTGGAAAAGAGACACCACCACCACTGTYAGGAGCTCATCTGCTGAGAGAGTACAGCCAGACATGCCAGAGACAGGGAAGACCTCTTCTTCTGGCTGCCCAGCCCTACATCCACWGAAGAGTCAGGAAAAACACCTTCAAAAGGAGAAACCATAGAACCCACAAACCTTTCCCCCATATCTCAGGGGAAATCTTCAGGCCCAACCCCTACAAGCATGCAGGTTCACAAGCCAAACTCCTGGGACAAAACAGCTCAGGGTGGCATTGGGTGACAAACAGGCTTTGTGACCCAACTGTGTCATTAAAATACAGCGGTGAGMGGGCTCAGTGTTGACACTTGTGGCCATGTGGGGTCACCTGACACTCACGTATTTCAGGATTTTCTTCACRCGAGCCATGCACAGGATGGTGACCCAGATGGACACCACGGAGCCCAGGAAGTCGCAGTACTGCAGGGTGTCGTAGTCCATGATGCACATCACCGCCACGCCCGGCTGGTCGCACGCGTGGTAGAACTGCGGCCGGGGACAAAAGCAAAGGTCAGCATGAACCCAGCAGCACCACACGGCTCTCTGGGAAGGGGAGGCAGGAGAAGGCTCAGCTCAYGGGCAGGATCCCTCCTACAGTGGCTCCAGGAAGCTCCACCAAACCACTGTGGCATTATGGACAGCGGGTGAGAGCAGGCACCCTGCACCCTCCCAGCAGTTCTGAAAGGGCAGGACATATTGTTGGAAAAAGGCAGAGGAGGGACGTGAAGCTGRTAAGAAGCACCTCCTCTACAAAGACAGGCTGAGAAAGCTGGGGCTGTTCAGCCTGGTGAAGAGAAGGTTGCATGGAGAACTTGCAGCACCTTCCAGCATCTGAAGGTGGCTACAGGGAGGAGGGAGAGGGACTCTCTTCAGGAGCTGTAGTAGATGGGGCAAGGACTAATGGGTACAGATTGAAAGAGGGGAAATTTAGGTTAGATATAAGGAAGAAATATTTTACTGTGAGCATGGTGAGAACACTGAAACAGGTTGCCCAGGGAGGTTGTGGATGTCCCAACACAGTCAATATTCAAAGCCAGGTTGGCTAAGGTCTTGAGCCACCTGGTCTAGTGGGAGGTGTCCCTGTCCATGGAACTAGGTGATCTTTAAGGCCCATTCCAACTCCCTAACATTCTAGGATTCTATGATTTGTCCATGGAAGTCCAATGATCCCAGAAGCTCCTTGTGGAGCTCCAGGATGGACTGCTCCACCAAGGACTTCAGTCTGGCACAGCATTGCCAAAGCTCAGAAGGAGGTGGCAGGGGACACATGGCAGTGCCTACCGTGGAGAAGAACATGGTGTAGGTGTAGACAGAGGCCTCCACCAGGTAGTAGCGATAGACAGCGACTGCAATGGCGGGCAGGAACATGAGGTTGCTCAGGGTGAGCAGAAGCGTGGCCAAGTTCTGTGCACCCACGGACTGGGCCTTGGTGTCATCTGTGCAGCTCCAGCCACCCCAACCTGTAGACAGAGAGGCTTCTGTGCATCTCACAGACCCCACCTTCTCCTCCCACAGCACTCAACAGGAGCCTGGGATGCCTGAGGAGGAGCAATCCCACCCCTGGACCATCTGCAAGCCCCTCCTCTTTCGCTCCATCAGCCTCTCACACTCCTGCTCTTAGGATGGTCTCATTACTCATCACATGCTCTGCTGTGGGAAGATGGGGAACCCCAGCAGAGCCATGTGGCTGCCCAGAGGACATTCCCTCTGGCTGTTCCCATGTAGCAGAAACCATCCTACATGCAGACTGGTACTTTCCAGCCCTGCAGTAACTCAACACACATGCTACTTGCTAGTGGAACATCAAGCACTTGAGGTTCAGATGCTTCACATGATGGTGTAAGTTGGATGTAAGATTCCTACAGGTTGCAGGAACCAGGTGGAGAATGATACCCAGCACCGAGGAAGCCACTGGGCTCCTCTCCTACAAGTTGTCACAGCAGGGCAGATCCAAAGCCAGGTGAGGCTGCTCTGGACCTTCCCCAACTGACTTTTGAAGATCTCCAAGGACAGAGACCTGGAAACTGCAAAAATAAACAGCTCTGAGGGAAAAAAGTGCCTTCTTCAACTTAATTGAAGTGAAAATTCCCTTGCTGCAGTCAATGTCTGTGGCTTCTTGCCCTTTCTGCATAGCTGCCTCCAGGGTCTCTGTAACCCCTGTGGGCAGCAGAAAGTGCGATTGGATCCCACTCCAACTCCCCTTCCACAGGCTGAACAAACCCACTGCTGTAGCCCATGGTTACATCCAGGGCTTCACAGGAGAGTGGAAGTGAAAGTTGCCTAAAGGACTGTGCCTGACAACAGAACACAACTCAGCCTCTGACTGAATACCAAGGACAGAAGAGAGGCAATCTCTACGAACACAAATCTTGTTCAAATTATTTTTGAAAGTTATTTAAATTACTTTAATTAAAGATTAGGATGCCCATGCCCTCTTTTTGAAGAAAGGAGGTCAGCCACAGGGCAGCTGGGGTATGTGCAGGCACTCTGTGATCAAGAAGCAGAGTTAACAGTAGCATCTATCCCATTCCAGAGTCATTGGAGCCCACAGTCGCTCTGCCCTGCCTGCTGGCTCCCTGCCAGGCAGAGCCYAGGGMAGCTGCTCTCTCCGGTTTATTTCTGGGTCACCAATATGCAGATGGGGCATTTTGCTCCRAGTGATTCAGCGGAAAGCTGTCCTCAGCCTGATTCCCCAGTTCCCTTGAGGTGCTCTCTGCTTCCCAGAACCTGGCTGCCCTCGGGGAAATTGGGATGCTGCTCTCCATCTTGCTCCTTACCCATCATTAGCACTGCAGCAGGGAGGTCCTGGCTCAGGTCCAGAACAGCAGGGAACCACATTTTGCCTTGTCCTTCTGCTGAGAGCAGGTACACAGACCCACCCAAGCACAGCAGAGCTCATCTTCCCTACACCACAGACTTCCCAGGCCATTAAGATAATTAGGAGCTGACACAGATGTTCCTCCTCCAGGGGCACCTCTGAGTCTAAGGCTCTTGGCAGGAGACACACAGGGACCGCAGCCCAGCGTCATCACATCCCGTACCAGGAAYCTACACAACAAACCTCCCTGACAGGCACAGCCTCTAACACAGGCATTTTCAGGCACCCTGATCTCTCTGGGGACACTCAGAAGCACTTCTCCAAGCCCTAGGGGACTCCAAACTGTCCTCATCCCAATTACCCATCACCCCTAGGCCACCCTGTGCTTCCCAGAATTTTGCTTCCCCAGGCACAGTGACACTGCCAGCCACGGCAGACCCCAGGCACCCTTCCCAAACACCTCCACCCTAAAATTGTGCTGTCTCCTCGGGAAGGATAGCAAAACTTCCCAGGAACAGGCACTCACCAGCCTTGCAGCTGCAGCCAGCATAGAGGTAGCCATGTCTCCGCAGGAGGCTGCACTGCCCGTAGGGCCCACAGTCATTGAAGCAGGGGGTGAGGTACRAGAACACCGTCACTTTGGCTTCTGCAGTGGTACATTCCCTGCAAGAACAGCACGTTTCCTTGGTGCCACAGTCCTTAGGGCAGCCCATGCCACGCTCCTGATGGCCAGGACATGCTCCTGCATGCAAGYTCCCTGATATTTTGGTGTCTGCTCCATCTCTTCCAAGTGCCAGAGCAGTCTGCTCCCTCTCCACTTGGCTGCCAAACTGATGTCCAAGTGGGTGCCAGCTCTCCCCAKACCACCATGGCAAATCCCACTGCCCATGACTATCCTCGGGACCAGTGCTGTTTTGTGTCATGTACTTGGCTCCTTACTCAAGATCCCAGCAGGAAGGCAAACTGCAGGAATGCAGGCACAGCTGCCTGCACCTCAGAGACCTCCCAAAAGGGTAACAGCAGCAATTCTCAATTTATCAAGTCTAAATACACTTGGGGAAGGGGAAGCTCACCCAGGCAGGCTCTGCCATCTGCAGTCTACTTGAGATGTGCCAGCTTGGCATCAAACAAGCTGCTTGGGTGCTCACAAGGGAGCAAGTCAGCAAGGCCACACATGTCCTTGTCCCTCTGCAGCCACAGTTCAGCTGCCACCAGGTGAGGAGCCCACAGCCCAGATGTGAGGTCAAGGGTCAGGTTTGCTCACACAAACCAAGGGCAGTGGGATGTAGCAGGATGACATGGCAGACTYACCCCTGGCCCTTGGGGCAGAGGAGCTGCAGGGACAGGAACCAGTCATCTGTCTGTGGGTACAGGACAATCAGCATTGCTTCTGCAGAGGAGGTGCTCACACTCAGAGGGTAGCCCTGGGAAAAAGCTGAAAGAAAAGAAGGTGCTGTGATGTGCCAGGGCTTGAGGAGAGACTGACTACATAGTAATTGGCTGCCTCCTGTGGCTCCTTAGTCCCACGTTCAGGAGGCACCAGGGAGATGGAGAGGACCCGTGCTCTCAAGAGTTCTGTTTTTAATTTCATCTCCATTCCTGCTCAGTGTCTGAGTAGTACAGGGTGCCCAGAGCAGCCTGTTATCTTGGGTAATCCTCCAGTGTACAGCCTAGCTGCTTTGCACACCAGCAGTACTTTTCACCATCCCCAAACCTCCTGCCAGCAAGGCTGGAAGAGCCCCAGCTGGTAACCAGATCTCCCTTTGGTAGAGGCTAACTCCTGGAGCCAGACCACCACCTGCACCCCAGCACCCTGGCAATGTGCCAGCACAAAGACCTCAGGAGGCTTTGGGCCAAAATCACTTTCTCTGGGATACTCCACAATATCCTGAGTCAGTTAACAGCTTGCCAGGTCTAAAAGCAGAGCCCTGAGATGACAGAGCTGAGCTGGAGGCAGGTGCCAGCATCTGTCCTACCTGTGCTGCAGTTCCGTGTGGCGTTGAGGGACAGCACTGGTGAAGCGGCACTCACACAGGCTACCACAGTGGCATTTGACAGGCTCACAGATGTCTGTGCAAACAGAGCAGTGTCCCATGTTAGTGTGTCCTGATGCCATCCCCCTGCACCATCCCTCTCCCACAGTGCCCATGAAACAACAAATCCCACAGGTCAAGTTGCCCATCAGTACAGCAGGATTCTGGTTCACCTGACCTTGTGCTGCCACCATATCGTGTTATGGCTTCAAGAGGCAAGAGACCCTCCTGGGGGACCCTCTCAGAGGAACTGCCCCAAAGCTGGGACATTCATATATCATTTCAACATCAGCACAGGGTGGCACAAGTCAGAGGCTGCAGAACATCAGGCCTGAGCCCTGCTCCAGCCCTCAAGAAGTTTAATGGAACTTCAGGGGGCTGATTTTGGTGTAGGGGGAGTCACTGAAGAAGCCCGGGAATCAGTGACTTGGGGCACGAACATCCCTGGGTTTCCCTGCTCAGCATTCTCTCCTGGTGGCAGGGTGCCAAGCTCCCGTGGAGAAGATGGCATTGCAGCTGCTTTCCATTTTGTCTCCTCTGCGTCACTGCCGCCACATGCCGCAAGCTGTGGCATTTGAATCGGAGCTGGCAGGTGGGACATGCTGGAAGCAGCTAAAATAGGCTCCGAGTGTTTTGTAACAACAAAGAGAGGAATAGTCCCACTGGTACCTCCAACCTCTGGAGCATGCAGCCCAGGAGCAGGGACAAAGCCCTGCCAAGGGGAYACAATCCTGCCCATCAGCCTGCACACCTTGTTAAGCAGCAGATTGACCACGAGGGAMCCCCCGCTGTCCATGCCTGTGTTCAGGTTGAGCAGGAGGAGRGTGGGGGAGCGGGTGTTCACGGGCACACTGGGACCGTTCAAGAGCCGGTAGCGCACAGACACCACGTCCAGGTCCTCCCTCACGACGGGCTGGCTCTGCAGGCAGGAGCCCCGCTGGCTGGATGAGTTGTGTGGAGCCTGTCCAGCAGCTGGAGCAGAGCTCCCTGCTGCTCCTGGTCTGGCAACAGCCTGGCTCTGGTTTAGGCTGATGAAGTTAAGGAAGGAACTGGTGCTTCCTGGTCTGCAAACTAGAGCAAAAAAGGAGAGAAATCAGCACAGCCAGGACTAGCACCTCACCCAGGCAGGCCCCAGCAGCTMCAAGTGACAGCACAAACTGGGCTCAGATGGCTCATGCACTGCATGAACTGTCCTTGAGGCACCATCTTTGCAGGGGGAGCATCCACAAGCTAGAACTCTGCTGGGAGCCAGACAGTGGTACAGTGGGTAGAAGCACCCTGGAGCTGCAGGGAAGGGGGAATGGAAGAAGGGATAACACAGCATCATCAAGGTGACCAGGGAGGGCTCACTCGCCAGCAGCAGAGCTCAGCMCTCAGCTGTCCCACAGCCACAGGCTGTGCAAAAGTCCCTCCCAGCTCTCCGGACATGAGCAGACAAGGCTGAGCAGGAGGGAGAAGCCAACCCTGTGGAGCTACAGGCACAAGCTATCAYGTTGTGGCAGATGGAGCTGAATGGTAAATTTGGAGTCCCACTGCTGGAGACTGTCCATGGCTCCCAGAGACTCCAGTGCTCCTCCCTAACACTTCTGCCAATGCCAGGTCTTTCAGCACACAGGATGAAGCTCTGCTTTGAGGAGGAGGTGGTAGAACCCCCAGTAGAAGAAAATTTAAAAAATGTTCCTGGTTGGTGAGCTTACAGCAGTCAAACAGGGATTATGGTCATGTAATAGGTGCAATAGGTGCAAAGGTATCACAGCCACAAGGACCTTGTGACCATCTGAGCCACAAAGCATCACCTGAAATGGTGACATTCCATCACTACAACTCCAGACATTTCCCCAAGTAAACCTCTGTGAGGTGGTTTCCTGTCTGTAGCCTGCTCTTGGCCAATTAGCAATCAACACAGCCTTAGTCTGTTGTAYCACTCAAAACTATTCTCCCCACCAGATTTTAAGCCAGCCACTGCTTCCCAAGCAACCTTTAGAAAAATAACACTGAGCTTTTCAGGTGTTTCCAAAACAGGCAGCTCTAGCAAGTGCCCCTCTGGGGTGAATACTGGAGCTTTCAATTTTGACACCACACCAAAAACTAGGGCCTCCAAGAGGAAGCAATAAGCATGTTGGGGAGCACAAGACACCACAGCCAGGCACCCAAAGGCCCAAGGGAGACATAGCAGACACAAAGTTTTCTCTGGTCCTTCTTACAGGACTAGAGAACACGGAATCCCACCTGTGAAAGAAGCCAGCATCTCCACCTTCACGCTGGCATTGCCAGTGCYGAGACTCTCCACCATGATCTGCAGCCACTTCTCCCAGGGGGGTGACTCCAGGGCTAGGCTGCAGTTGATGCTCCCCGTGCAGGTGAGGATCTTCTGGAAGGACTGGGGCAGGGTGATGGAGCCCAGCAGCACCCGCACGGCGCAGGCTCTCTGCTCGCTGGTGAYGCAGCTGCTCAGCTGGAACCGCATCCCTGCGGCGTGTTTGGGAACGAAGACCCTGTGGGAGGAGGGAGCAGCAGTTTGCAGAGCTCATACTCTCAACACAAGCCAGCCACAACCCACCACAGTCCCCACGGCTTTGTGACACGGACTAGACTGCCCTGGTTGGTGCTGTGAAAATCCTTCCCAAGGTAAACATCTGGAAGAACTAAAATTCCTGCAGTTGAATCTATGACCACCTGGGAAGATTTAGAGAAGGGTGCTCGTGTGCTACCCATGCAGATCTTACCACTGCTGCAGGGAGCTCAGCAACAGGTTCAGAGACCCCCCAGCTTCAGCCCCACGTGGGAACAACACTGGCTTCCCCATAGCAGCTCCTGTGGAAATCCCACCCCACCATGCCCTCAGTTGCCCACCCACTGCTCCCACTCACTTGACATGCAGTGGCTTAGCAGGCGAGACAACGGTGTGTGGCATGGGGACACCAGGCTCCAGAACAGGCATATCAGTGAGTCTGAGCACAAACATATCTGCCTGGAACATATAGGGGCATGGAGTGGAGAAACCCTGCAGGAGGGGAGAGCACAGGGGTCAGCTGTGGCTGTGATGAGACACCCAGGGTAGAGCTCTGGGTAGGACCCTCACCTTCACCTCAATCCTGCCTGCAGCCTCGGGCAGGTGGGCAGCAATGAACCAGTCCCCAGCAGCAGGGGTGGTGACRTTCACAAAGGTGGTGTTTTGCACAGCACTGCTCAGGGTGATGCTGATGTTGTAGGAGGGACGGACGGTGGCATTGGCAGGAAAGCGAGTGCCCAGCGGGTTAATGACAGGAGGGGCACCATGGCGAAAGTGCCTGCAAGAGAAGTCACAATGAGAGTAAACCCARGGAGGTGCAGACACTGGCAGGATAAAGTGGGATACAAACTCACCAGGGACACCCTGGCTRGCCTGGAGAGGGAGCAGGCTGGAAAATCCCACATTTTCAAGTGGAGTCATCATTCTCATCTGGTGAGAACTAGCTGCTATTAGCTTATCCGGGATTTATTTAGAGATTGGTTTAACTTGGCAGCTTATTAAGATAAGGATTTACATAGTTCCATCAAGCCTGGAAGCAAATTTCCAACACTTATTAAGGCTAAGCCCCACCCACAGCCTACTGATTTATAACCATCAGCAAATTCCCCATATAGGGRAAATCGTCTACAGAGAACTTTCATTTTCCAGCTAAGATCTGCATCTTCCCATCTCCTCTAAGAAGGGCAGTCAGACAGACTACAAAGACACTTTCCAAGGGAGGCCCCTATTACAGACCTCAGTGCAGCAGTGTTTCTGCTTTCCAGATAAGCCCAGTGTTTGAAGTAGCAGAAACACAMAAGGCTAAGGAACGTGGGAGATATTTATTCAGTCAATTTGGCATTTAATTTGATTGCTTTTGGACTGCACTGAAACAGGTCCAGCAAGCAAACATGACAGGTGATATGTTATTACCCCTTGGAGCTTATCTGGGTTAGCCATCACTTCTTGGATTATTGTTTAGCTGCTGCCTTGTTCCTCATGTCCCAAAATTACTGGAAACCTTTCTGGGAAGCAGAAAGCAGAAAAATAATCTCTTCCAGGCTGCTCAGGAGCAATTAAGAGCACCAGTCTCTGCCCAAGACAGAGCAGAGAAGCCCAAGCACAAGAGGTCAGTCACTCCCAGACCTCTGTGGAACAGACGCCAGARACCCATGGGCTCCATGGGCACAACTCACTGAGGAAGCTTTGGTGTTCTCCTAAAGCTCAAAATCTGACAAGTTTTTGACCTCAAATYCTTCAACAAGWTAAGTACTCCTTTAAGCAGCATTTYTTTCACTGACATTGAGTTTGCAATATTCTCATGCACAACATTCCTCTACTGTCTCTGTTCCACGCTCAGCCACACCCCTCACAAAGWGTCCCCCAAAACTCCTCAGTTCTTCTGTACTGGGACGTTTGCCCATCTCCAAWCATTTTGGATCTGCTCAAGTCCCTTGTAGTCCTGTTACATCCTTTGGCACCATGTGCAGGTTCTGCCAGCCAGGAACACCTTTGAGCAGCACATTTGATTCACTGTGAAGGTCTCTTCAGTGTTCTAAGCGGTCTCTTGGATACCACAGCTGACAGGCAGCCCAAAATCCATGGGTAACAAGAACATGAAACACTCCTACAGGTTTGAACACAGATTCAGTGCTACTATAGGAAGCTCCTGCAACTGAGAAATGGCCCAACCTCCACAAGCAACCAGCCCCAGCCACAAGTGACCAGGACAAAGGGACAAGAAGCCCACARGGACAAACCCTGTCACAGGGACATACTTACACAGTGATCTCCATACTGGTGCACTCAGGGCCTTTCCCCCGGGATGCTTGCAGGAGCCAGCGTAGCAGCACAGTGTCTTCTGGCACGTGGAAGTGGAAGAGCTTGGCATTTCCATACCAGCTGTAGAAGGACAGCTTCTGTGCACTCTGAGAGAAGTACTCAGAGACATAAAGGGAGTCTGGAAGGGARAGAGCACAGCAGTTGGTGGGGAGCTGCTGGGGTCAGGCTGCAGGGCTTTATCCACCCACAGAAGCACACAGGAGGCTTAATGTTTCYTGGAAAGGTGTACTTTGTGTCCCTGTTTTCTCATTACAGTCCCATTAGATATGTGGTGATCCATGCACCTCCAGCCAGAACCACCCACACTCCTGCTGTAAAACCATCACCCTGAACTGGAGAGCACTAACAGATGCCTAAACTACACTCTGAGRGACATGCCCTGAAGCTGAGAGATCACCAGAGAGACTGAGGAGGAGGAAAAGGTCTGGAAGAAAGGCTGATGGCAGAAGGAAAGGTGATGGAAGAGGCAGCAGGAAACCCAGGGGCACAGTGCAGAACAGATGGGTGCAGGCAACACAGGGATGCCCTGTGCCCCAGCAGCAATTTATGGTGCCAAGAGGCAAGAGCTGTGCCCTTGTCTTCTGCTGAGCATATGGGCTGAGGATGAAAGGATGGGGGGGGAAATGGTTTTAAACCAAAGGAGAGGAGATTTAGATTGGATGTTAGGAAGAAATTCTTCTGTGTGAGGGTGATGAGGCCCTGGCACAGGTTGCCCAGAGAAGCTGTGGCTGCCTCGCTCCTGAAAGTGTCCAAGGCCAGTTTGGATGGGGCTTGGAGYAACCTGGTCTAGTAGAAGGTGTCCCTGCCCATGAGATGATCTTTAAAGGTCCCTTCCACCCCAAACCATTCTGTGTTTATCCCTCTACCCAGCTCAGAACACATGTATTGTCTTCCTGTGWCACAMARCACTATGAAACTTCATGTGCTGCAMRTGTAACTCTGCTTTCAGAMATAACWTCTAAAGATTTTTCTAGCTRGAAGAAAGGCTRCTGGGATAGCAAGAACAGCCTCAGGGTAGGCATGCAAGAGGACAACAGTTATATAGTCAAAGTGCCATCAGGACTAACTAGATCCTCCATCCCTCTGCCCAGCTAAATATCTACAGATCACCCCCAGCAAAATTACACATTAACAAAACCAGTCAGACTGCARCTCAGGTCTGGAAAAGAAGCATCACACCAGAGCTGAGAAAAGGATAAAACTGCATGAGGACAGCGGAGCCAAGGCCATGCTGCCCATCCAAAATCACAAAACTCAGCAAGAGGGTAAAAGGTTATGCCTTCACATGTCTGCAGAGTGCTTCCAGATGCTCCTTTCCTATTTTTTTCTCCCCCAGAATGGAGAGAAACTGTGGCACCTTTCAGAGAGATATTCCGGCCCTCTGCTTATCCAAGAATAAGCAGCAAAGGGCAAGTTAACGTGTCCTCCTTCAACTCTGCACAGGGTCATGCTGGAAATACAGAGGACCCAACTGTCAAAGAGGAACTGTTTAAGCAAAGAAAGAGGAAAACATCCTCAGGCAGGATCAGATCGTTGGGATATACTTCCTGCCGGGAGGAATCTAATCCTAGCAGGAACTATGATCCATGCCCCAAAGGAAGACACTCGCCGGCCTGCACCCACGACACTGCAAGGAGACAGGAACAGTAATCATGGGTTTAACTCCTTGGCAAATTACCAAGCCAAAGCCTGCGGGCATTCTGCAAGCCCGGCAGCGAAAGGAGGAAACAGGAAAGCGAGAAATACCGGCCACACAAGGCAGCTGGAGGATTTGCTCCTGGAGGAAGAGCATAGCTGCCTGACCTTGCCACAGGGGCTGCCCTGGCCATGCACCCACGGGGGCCAGCCAAGGGGCAGAGCTAGCAGCACCTTTGTGCATGGAGCCAGGAAAGGCCATGGGGAAAGGTGAGCCCTGAGCAGGACAGCCAGGAGGCTGCAGATTGTGGGCAGAGCTGTCCCATGCTGGGGTCACACTGCTCTCCRGAGACCACAAAAGGGGCTTCTCAAGCCAATGCTCCCTCGGCTGAAATGCCAGCGCAGTGTGTGGGTACTGTGGACAAGAGCTGGCGGTGATCCCTGCAAGCCTGGGGACATTTCCCACACAGGGGATATGGAAGGAAGCAGGATTTCATCACTGGTGTCTGTAACCCCAGCACACTCCACATGCACTTGGCACACTCATTTCTGCAGTTCATGGGGACATTTGGGCACAGGATGAGGGTAGGCAGGGACACAAAGCGTGATTAGAGCTGGGAGAACCCCAGTCCTGCTCAACACAACAGGTCCCATCAAACAACCTGAAACCTGCCCCAACACAAGCTGCTCCAGCCCCACCAGCTGTCAGACACCGTCACCACCCACCCTGCACGTCCTCATGAAGGCAAAGCTCAAATTGTGTGGTTTTGGGGGAGGACAGGGCCGGCTGACTGCAAAATTAAAAACTCCAGTATTCAGCAGTGCTCTTTATTAAGGACTGGTCAATTAGATGGAGAGAGCTCAAGAGCATTACCAGATTAGAGCAGGAAGACCTGCCCTGCTCACGTACTGCCTGCCACCAGGTAAGCACCAGTTAGGGCTTTGGACAAAGTCCACTGACAAACAGCTTCTTGTGGTGACAAGGGCTGAGCCCCTGCTCACAGGCTGTGCTGGGCACACAGAGCTGCACAAGTGAGCTGGTATGTGACTCCCAGGGCACCCTCTGCCCAGGCTGACAAGGAAATACCTCAGATAAGCAGAACATCAGCACAGAAAAGCCTGAAAGACAGGTCACTGCAGTCGAGGTGTGTGCTCTGGCAGCMCATTTGCATCAAGAGAGAGTTCTCTGGCATTTGTTCTGCTCCGTTTGTGTCCATGCCCATCTATTCAATCTGCTCGGCACCAGCATGGCAACACCTGGAAAGTCCCACTTGACTGTCCCATGATGTGAAACCAGCTTTAAACTGTGCAAGAGACCCATCCAGTGGATGCTGTTTCCATCCCCTTCCATACAGATTTCGCATAAGCAGATTTCAAGTGTATTATGCAAAAAACAACAGTGTTTTAAGACAAGAAACAGAACGAGGTAGAATCCCTGTAGCACAGAGAAGACACATTATTTCAATTTCAGAGTAAAGAGTCACAGACTACAGCTTATGTTTGTTTGTCCAAAGATGATCTCATGGTAGTTTTAGGAAATAMTACCTTGACTGCGGGTTTCTCAGGGCTTCCCATCAAAGGGATGAAGCCCTCATTTCAAAGGACATGCTGTCTAAAGCTACAGAGTTGATGAKGAGTCTGACTCACAAAAAGACTGGGCTATGTTGCAGGATGTTTGCCCATTTACAATGTAACAGAAATCTCGTTCCTTTATCCCGGGTAAAAATCCACCTACAAATGTTGCAGAACAAGGACCCCCTCGCTCTCCCAGGGAGGCGTTGATCTTTTCCAGCGCCCAAACACAACACAGAGGCATTCCCTACGGAGGCATTCCCACAGCCGGCGGGACGGCGCCGAGACAAACCCAGCACCACACCTGAGGCGCACGGGAGCTCTCCGAGCTGGGAACCCAGCGAGCAGGATGCCAGAGCAGGGTGGGCCTGGGGCACGGGGCCATCTCACCCCTGGCTCCCCGAGAGCCTCACGCACTGTGGACTGTGAGGAGGCGATAACCACGATCAACAGGGCAGCCACRGGCAGAACGAGCCCACCTCCGCGATGGGGTGAGCAGGTGAACAACCTCACCTCCCCGAAYGTCTGCACCGCCACAGCAGCTCTGGAGGGAGGGGAGGAGTGGGCACAATCCCCGCGGGACCCCAGACCTCCAGCACCCTCTGCTCTGCCAAAAACCCCGCTCCCATCCATCCGTCTGCATGYCCTGGAAGTAAAGTAACCTGAAAACAAGGCAACCCAAGGAAAACAACCACTGCAAACACAGCAGAACCCAGAGGGTCTGGCCTGACCTCCCACTGCTCTRCAGGGCCGGCACAAGCGCTGCTCCCCGGGGATGCTCAGGAGCCCCCGACTCCCTCGAGAAGGTATGAAGGCATCCCAAAGTCACTGCAGATCCAGCCCGGCAGCGGCTGCGGGACCCGGGGCAGCTCCCGGCGCTCGCTGCAGCATCACTCCGCCGCTTTCCCACCGGCGCCTCTGCCCCSCCGAGACCCCGCCGGCCGCCCCCCGCTGTGCCCCGGCCCCGCGGATCCCCCCTCTCCCGCCCCGCCGGGACTCACCGGGACCGGTGCGGTTGCCGCGGCCGGCGGGCAGCGCCAGGAGCTGCAGCAGGAGCAGCAGCAGCCGC